CGGCGCCCCCGCCCCTGCCGCCGCCGCGCAGCCCCGGAGCCGCGGGAAGGGCCGCGCCGCCCCGGGCCTCCGGCCCGCCGCCCGCGCGCACTCACCGAGCGGCCGGGACGCGGGCCGGGGCCGCGGGAGGAGACGCCGAGGGCTCCGGCCCCGCTGTCACAGCGCCATCCCTGCCGCCTCTCCGGCTTCCCGTGCGCGCGGCCCCTCGGGAGGGAGCGGGGAGGACACGTGGTGGGAGGAGGAGGGTCCGGCCGCGAGCTGAGGGTGTTGGGAGGAGAGGGGAGGAGCGCGGCTGATGTCAGCGGGCCTCGGCGGCGCCGGGAGACGGCGCCCGCGCCAGCTCCGGACCCTCCTCCCGGCGCGGTTTCCGGCAGGTCCGCGCGGCGCTCTCCTCCCGGCGGAGTTCTCGACCCTGCTCGCGGCTCCCTCTGGCCGGCCAGCGGCGCCGTGCCCTCCGCCCTCCCCGTTTCCCCCGCGGTCGTCGGCTTCCCGTGCGCTGTGGGCGCCCTCGGCGGGCCGGAGGCAGGAAGGGCATGAAGGATTTCTGCTTTAGCAGAGTGTGTGACCTGGGAGCATTTATCCCTGTGCTGATTTGCATTCACCGGTGGTTTGCGTTTGCTGGGGTGAGCACTCAAGGCAGGCTCGCCACGCTTCAAGGGACGCGTTAGGAAGAGTAGACCAAGGGGGCTGAAGAGGGGTCCTGGATCTTTGCCGAACCGTGCTCGGATTCTGGCAAGCATAGGTCCAGAACTTCGTTCGTAGTATATACGAAGAAGGAACTTCCTGATAGGAGTACTTGTTACCTGCTAAAGCCCGAGCTTGTAATCTCGTGGAGGACATAACTCTCTCTCTGTAGCAGGATCGTCAAAAGGCTCCACAAAAAAGAGCAGACAAGCCCTGAAGCCCTTCTGATTCCAGAAAAAAAGATTCTGGGTTTGGGTTTTTGTTGGGAAGTCGTTAAGGAAAAAATAAAATCATTCTGACACTTGTTAAAACAGGAAGGAGGACTTTATTTAGAAATATGGAAGTAGGTGTCCATACTATCACACGAAGGGAGAGACATCCGCTCAACTCTAAAAGTTAGCGAAGGGATAGCCCACAGGCAAAGTCAGGGAGTCAGTGGGCAGAAATTCGTTTAGAGGAGACAGTAGGGAGAGAGGAATCTTGCTGCAGGCCGGCCAGCCCGGTCAGATTTCCACGATGGGGGCAGGTTCTCTCTAAACCGAGTCTGCAGGATTCTTGAGGAAGCTGGGCTGCGCAGGCCGAGGAGTGGAGGAGGATCCGAAGACCGAGGCCTCCCGGAGAAGAGGGCTCAGAGGAGACCGACTAACATTTGATCAAGTCAAGAGCTTTTGTCAAACTTCTCGGACTGTCCCTAAGATCTGAGTAGCTCCTGGGGGAGGCGTCTCTCTCCAAGTGTTTGTGGCCATTCCTGGTTGTTTATGAATAAGTAAACATTTGTGAATGTTACTTCCCTCTGTCATGGAGAGGCTAATGGGGAGCTGTGGAGCTCCCAATTGGTAAAATGTACTATGACAAGCACATCTTTGAAGTGTAATTGTGGTGGACGACCCCAGACCAGAGCAAGTTTAACTGAAAGAGAACGTTATTCAAATACGGGGAGCCAGGAAGATGTTAGCGTTTCTTGTTTGTGTTCACGAACAGTTCTTTTTGTGTGTAAAATTAGCATTGTTAGAACAGGCCTGACTTCTCAGCTCAAGTTGATTGACCTTCCCATCTTAACTTTTCTGAGGAATGGCGACTTCAAATGGAAAAGTGAGGAGAGTGTCGAGAAGAAACCAAAGGGTTTTAGACTCTGAGAGTCCTAATGTTCTCCTGCGGCTGTGATTAGTTTTTTGGTTTTTTTTTTTCTGGGAAGAGGACAATCACCTGAATTCTTGACTTTGGACCCACAGCCCTAAGATCTCAATTATTGCCATGGGGCCCACCTTGGTACAAGTCCGTAATTGCTAACAGGACTTCCTCGCAGGAACAAAGTGCTGGGGTAGGCACAATGCTCTGCCAGACATTCATGTTGAAATCACTTATAAGTCATGCTGCTTGTCTCTGCCCGGGTTTCCTCAGCTTCAGAAAGAGGGAATTGCGGGCACCTGCGTGGCTCAGTGCATTAAGTGTCCGACTTTGGCTCGAGTCATGATCTCATGATTTGTGATTTTGAGCCCTGCATCGGGCTCTGTACTGACCGTGCAGAGCCTGCCTGGGATTCTCCCTCTCTCTCTCTCTCTCTCTCTCCCTCTCCCCCTCTCTCTGCCCCTCCTTCAGTGGCAGGCCCTCCCTCTTTCTCTCAAAATAAATAAATAAACTTAAAAACAAAAAAAGAAAGGAAGAGGGAATTGTGCCAGCCAGATGTTGTCAGAGCTTCCCCTCAACTCTAATTCAGCAATTCCATTTCCCAAAAAGACTTCATTTGAGTCTGCATGGGGAGTGACTGAAGCTCATTTTTGAGACAGTGCATGGCTTTGATAATTGGTAGGATGGGTTTCTGTCAGTAGGTACTTAATAAATATGAGCTGAACACCTATGAAATTAACATAATAGTTCTTTTGTTTTTAATTTTTTTTTTTAATTTTTTTTTTTCAAACGTTTATTTATTTTTGGGACAGAGAGAGACAGAGCATGAACGGGGGAGGGGCAGAGAGAGAGGGAGACACAGAATCAGAAACAGGCTCCAGGCTCTGAGCCATCAGCCCAGAGCCTGACGCGGGGCTCGAACTCACGGACCGCGAGATGGCGACCTGGCCGAAGTCGGACGCTTAACCGACTGCGCCACCCAGGCGCCCCTAACATAATAGTTCTTTAATGAGGCTACTGGTCTGGCTTCATGCTTCTTTCTATTGAATTATTGCAGTCCACAAGCCATAGGGATTCTAAAGAGCTCAAGTCCCAGAAAATACCCGTTACCCCTAGACTACAGGTAAGCCTAGCTACCAGCCCTTCCTTCCTCCATTTCTCAGGGACTGTGGTAAATGGAATTAATACATCCTTGTGGTAGTTCACCCTGCTGGTAAATAGCATACCTGCTGAGACCTCATGTGTGCAGAATGGACTTC